CAGCCGAACAGGTTTCCTGAGTGAAGGAGTGAGAGCCGGGACAAGCGGCGTAGTGTTACAGCATGGAGACGACAGTGTCGTCCGTTTATTGTGGGCAGCACAGTACAGCACAGAGACGACGCAGTGTCACAGCTCTTAAGGGTTGCATCATCTACCGTGAGCAGCATAGAGACGACGCGGTGTCACAACTCTTCAGGGTCATCCGGAGACAACATGTTACAGCTCTTCAGGGTCTCCCAGGTCGTCTGGAGACGATGCAGTGTCAGCTCTTCAGGATCTGACTGCCTGGAGACTGCCCGGTGTTTCAGCTCTTCAGTCGTCATCTTCTTCCTGGTCATCCTTATCTTCCTGGTCCTGTTGTCTGGCTACTGTGGGCCAGGCATCATGGTTATATACACTCTGGTGGGTTGTAAACGGTGGGCCCTGATTGGTTGTAAACGGTGGTCCATGATTGGTTGTTTTTGGACCAATCATGAGGTGCCGGATATGCAAATTTGAGGGATTCTAGTGGCCAATCAGGCAAAGTTTCAAAGGTCAGGGTTTTGAAGGGAACCAATCATGGTAATTGTTTGCTCCCTGAGAAACCTCGGCTGACTGACCGCAGATTCGCCAGTGCGCAACCTCCCACACATGAGAAATTTGTTTTTCTTGCTATGCCATACTAAACACAGCTGGATTGGATCGTTTTGTAAATATGGTAGTAGTCAGAAGCATCGGCTCTGGAGTCTTGGGTTTGAATTCTGGTTCTGTGACTTATCTGCTCTGTACAGTTGAGGACCCCAGTTTCCTCATCTATAAAATGGGATTCTAGGGACCAGCAGTTGGTGTAATGGCTATGTTGCTGGACTCCCATGTAGTCGACCGCAATTCGAGTCCCGGACCTGGTGGCTTAAACTCACGCCAGGCATGTGTGCGTATGTGCCCAAGATCCCGAGAGGAGAATGGAGGAGAAGGCATTGCAGTGTGGCCATACCCCCTGGAGGTGATTTCTCACTTTCTGTCTCTGTCTCACTCTGTCTTTCTGGTGAGCACATGCGCCCTATAGCAAAAACCTCTCAAAGGGGGGGGGGGTTGTACCTTATAGGATTCTTAGGGGAAATGAAGAAGAGGCTGAAAGCACTTAACATGTGAGGTAGATTATTCTTAAATCTTACAATCTAGTGGAAGAGAAAATAAATGAATTTCATTTAGGAACTACAGGAAAGCTTCACTGGGACAATACCATTTACATAGAGACCCCAAGGATGAATAATTAACTGGGGTGGATAAGTGGGATGGGAGGTGGGGGAAGGGCCTATCAGGCAGAGGGTACAGTTCTTGAGAAAGCCCTGAAGCAATTATAAAAGCCAAAGATAGAGAAGTGAGGATAAAGAGGAGACAATCTTCTGCAAGTCAAGGATTTCCTGATTGATAAAGTGTGAATGGCAAGCAGCCTTGGTTCAGCCTGAGGCCAGTCCCTGTAAACTTGAGACTTCACACTGGCCAGCGATCATTTCCCTGACGGAAAAACCACACCCACCAAGTCTCCCGCAGGGTCCCCAAACACAGAAGACAGAGGAAAGCAGAGGGTGCTGCCTTGGGTCAGAGTGAGCAGTCTTCCCAGCGGAAGATCAAGAAGACGGGTAAGAGGGCACAAAGGTGGAAAGTCGTCTCTGTTGGCAGCAGAGTTGTCTGTCTAGGGGAAGGCCTTCAAGGCGACTGGAAATCAGGCGGGGGATGAGGTGGGGCAGCATGTAGCACCAACTTGAGGTTAAGGAACTTGGTCAGGTTGTAGGACCACAGTCAAATGGAGAATGGGCGCCCCCTGGGAGCCGTGCGCGGTAGTGGACGCTGGAGGACCCAGCTGAGGATCGGCAGAGGGTGGCTCAAGATGGGAGTAACCTGCCCGGCTCAGTTTTCCTCTCACGGGATCTAACTTCGTCGGGAATGACGGATTCCTGGGCTCCCAGAATGACTGGGCTGAACGGGACCTCGAAAAAAGAACAACCAATACGTGCCCTGTGCCAGAGTTGGGCACTTTCGTGAACACTATCTTGTTTCACAAGCTAACTCTGCTTCCAGGTGGGTATCATTATACACATTTTTCCGATGGGAAAATCAAGGCGTGGTGACTTCCCAGGGCGGGGCCGGGATTTCTGTACGATTTCAGAATCTCTCTACTGGTAAGATACCGATTCCCGGAGGTTTGGGGGAACGGCATCGGGGGTGAGGCGCCCAAGCTTTCCCAGGGACAACCGCGTGAATGTACTTTCGGAGAGGACCACGCCTCCCTTGTCGCGACCATACTGATGCGTGTTGCTTTCCTTTAAGCGTTTTCCCTTGAAAAATGGAGTCTTCGCCACACGGGGAGGCGGACATTCTGTAGTCCCGGATCGCCAGCACGTCTTCCTCTCTCACCCGCCCTGATAGCCACTGGTCACGTAAATTCTGCCCCTCTACTAGCGAGCGAAACCTTGGGACTACATTTCCCGGCAGGCCGTCCAGAGGCGGCAGCGAGGGCGAGGAGGAAAGAAGCTTTCCGTTTCCGTGGGCTCGAAATTTGGCGTGTCGGCCGTGATGCACATTTCAACAGCCAACGTCCTTTCTCGGCAGCGCTCAGGAAGGGACTACGTCCCCCAGCAGGCTCCGGCGCAGACGTCGAGCGCCGGGGTTGCCATCTTTACTGTAGTCCTTTTCTCCTCTTACGCAGGCCATAGCCTTAGCGCCTGGACTACAAATCCCATGCCACCGTGCCCCCCCGTCCTTCGGCCGCCATCTTTGCCGGTAGTCCCCGCCCCGGTCCCTTCCATTGTCTCGGCTGAAGATAATAGGAGAGCCTGGAAGACTGCAACTCCCGGCAGGCTTTGCGCCACCGGGAGGGGGATTTCGAGGTTCCAGGCGGGCGAGGTACCCAAGGTGATAGAATGAGGCGACCAGGAGAGGCTAGGTAGCCTGCCATCTTTATGGTAGTCTCCTTATCCTCCTCGCTCCGCCATTCTTAAGGAACACTAGAAGGCTAGAAAACTACTAATCCCATCGCACCTCGTAAGGTCGGCTACTGGTCAGGTGTACGCCCCTCTCCCGCCATCTTGCTTGTAGTCCTCGTTCCTTTTCACCTTTCCATTGTTCCTGACGAGTAGAAATGGCAGCGGGAAGGCAGCAGATGGACTGCGACTCCCGTCAGGTACCACACACGCGGAGGGTTGTGGACAGGAGGGCGTGCGAGTGCCTGGGAAGGAGGTCGGGTGGGGGAGTAGGCCATCTTGTTTGTAGTCATCGTTCCCGCTCCTTCTCTATGTTCTGCAACGGGGAGCCTCGGGGCAGCCGGACTATAACTCCCGGCAGGCTCGGCTACCGCCTTGGCACGCCCTTCGCCATCTTGTTTGTAGTCCCCGCTGGCCCCGGCAGCCCATTCTTCTCGCGGTAGCGCCGGTGTCCGAGGGACTACAACTCCCGTCGTGCCCTTTGCGCGTTCGTCCTGGAAAGTGGAGGTGGTGGAGGAAGGAGGGTGCAGGGGGCGGGGTTCCTTTGGGAGAAGGAGGGAGTAAAGAGGAGGAGGAGGGAAGGAGAAGGGAGGGGAGGGGGAAGAGAGGAGGAAGGAGGAAGGAGCTGAGGAGGGATGAGAGAGGCGGCCAGGGCCCCGGGCCGAGCCAGCGCGGGGCCGGGGGACCAGGGGGGCTGAGACACCCCAACTGCCCCCTCCCCCCTTCCCTGCCACCCTCCATCCTTTCCTTCCACCCTCCCGCTTGAAGAAGGGGATTTATTCAAATTTTATTTAAATCCCTATCTCCCGAGGGTCGCGCGCTGGGGGGAGGGGGGAGAGGGCG